TATTTATTTATTTTAGTGCTGGTTCTGGGGTTTGAACTTAGGTCCTAGACACTGACCAAAAGGTCTTTGTGCTCAAAGCTGGTGCTCTACTTTTTAATCATGGCTCCACTTCTGTCTTTTTTGGGGGTAAGAGGGGAGAGAGAGTTCTGGTGGTTAATTGGAGATAAGAGGCTAGCAAAAATAATAATATAGCTCATTGACTTTTATTCTCAAATGCAAGTTTTCTGGAGTTCAGTTACATAAAAGACAAGACTTCAATGTGTCATATAGAAAATGAGTTTAAATCATGTTATTTCATGTAAAAAACTTTTTTTAAGTCTTACCTATGGGACGATTGCAAAGGTAGTGGCGAAGACTGATATTACCTAGCTGATTTGGTGTCACCTGGTTCACCTGAAGACATATCTCTGTATCTTCTCCTCGAATGTCAATTTCCCCATTCACACCGGTAATTTTAAACACCACAACTGACATCTAGTAATGATTGTATGAATATATAATTAGTTTATCAAGTAATTCAAAACAGTTCTAGGAAAGATAAAAGAATCATTAATCTCTAAAAATACAACAGAGACTTCTCAAATTACTGACCTGAAGAATATGGTTGTTGCATTATAAAGGTTGAGCATCTCTAATTCAAAAATCAGAAAAGTGAAATACTTTGCATGCCAGTATGATGCTCCACATGGAAAATCCCACGTAATGAAACTTTGTTTCATGCATAAGATTGTTAAAAATATTGTAAAAAATTATCTTCAGGCTATGTGCATAAAAGTTTACATGAAATATGAATTTCACATTCTGACTTGGGTCCTATTCCCAAAATGTCTCATTATGTATATACATATATTAAGAAATCTGAAATTCAAAACATTTCATCATACAATTTTGGATAAAGGATATTCAACCTGGAGAGACCAAGTTCAGATCTTTTTTTGGTGGGGGGAGGGGAGTCATAGGGCTTGAACTCTGGGCCTGGGCACTATCCCTCAGCTCTTCAGCTCAAGGCAAGCACTCTACCACTTGAGCCACAGCACCATTTCCAGTTATCTGAGTGGTTTATTGGTGATAAGAGTCTCACAGACTTTCCTGCCTGGACTGGCTTTGAACTGAGATCCTCAGATCTAAGCCTCTTGAGTAGCTAGGATTACTGGCGTGAACCACCAGCGCCCAGCTAAGTTCAGATCTTTTTTCACTTATCTCTTTTGAAAATGACAGAGATTCCAGGTCATTAATTTTTAAATGATTTTCCCTAAGTTAATCACAATATATTTTCAGTCATTTCATAAGAATATTTCTTTTTTTGTTGTTTTCTAGGTAGGGCAAAATGAGTGTACAGATATGGAGGGAGGGTGAGCAAATGCAGTTATTGTATTCAATATATATTATGTAAAATATGAACTACATAATTGTGGGCAGGAACAGGAGGGGTTAAATGGAGTAAAGGAAGGAGTGACACAGTCTGAGAAGCACTGTACTCATTAACTGACTTATGAAATTATAACCCCTTTGTACAACTTAATAATAACAATTTTAAAAAGAATATTTCACTAGGTAATAAGTGCTTAAAAGAAAGTAGCAATATATTTCCTTTGTAGAAAGCTCCACATTAGCCAATTATAGTGGTTTATTCCTTTAAGTCCAGCACTTGGGAGTCTGAAGCAGAAGGAGGCCAATCTGCATTATATAATGAGGCCCTGACTCAAAAATAAAAATCTCCTTCTTATAAGGATTCGCCTTTGCTTCCTCCTTTCCACCAAGGAACTAAAATGTAATTCAAGAACCAAAGAAAAACAGACCCTCTCTATGAATAAAAACAAATTAGAAAAGCAAAAATATAGGAAAAAATACTTCATCAAGCAAGAAGGAAGAGCAAAGCAATTCATCTACCATCTAGAATTCACTTTACATATTTATGTCTTAAAACATGTACATATCAAATATGAAATAAAGTTAGTGATTTTTGTCCATGAATCCCTTTAAATGATTACCAGGTCGTCATGGGCTTCTTGAGCACCCTCTGAATTGGTACTAATGGCATCTGGAGAGTTTTCCCCATAAGTCTGCACGTTTGCACTGGCATTCATACTCTCTGCTGGGCTCTGGTAATTTGTAGTCGAGTTCTTTTTAATTCCTGAAACACAAAAGTAAAGTAGAGCCAGGTGCTGGTGGCTCATGCCTATAGTCCTGGCTACTCAAGAGGCTAAGGTCTGAGGATCATAATTCAAAGGCAGCCCAGGCAGGGAAATCTATGAGACTTTTATCCAATTAACCACCAAAAATGATGGAAGTAGAGCTGTGGCTTACGTGGTAGAGCACTAGCCTTGGGCATAAAAGTTTAGGGACAACATCCAGGCTCTGATTTTTGGCATACACACACAAAAAATAAAGTAACAGACTGAAATCAGTTTCATACAGGAACTAACAATGTCATGTTTATTTAATCAAAACAGACTATCACTTCCACTCATGATTGCTTAAAAGCAGCAGGCAAAAAAAAAAAAAAAAAACAGATTATGGTTAGCTAGCAAATAATGAGAAATCATTTCCTCAAAGCCATAAACTTAGTATGAAAAGATCTCACAATGCTGATCCTGCCCATGTAATTGTAACCCCTCTGTACAGTATGTTCACAAATAATATAAAATAAATTTAAAAAAAAAAGAAAAGATCTCACAATGCTGAACACAGAAGTGGCTGGGGTCTCCTGCTGTAGCTACTGTGAGGTTCCCCTACCTGTCCACACTGAACAGTTCCAGTCTGACCACCTCATTTTTCTCTTCAGCATCCTATAACAACTCCTAACCATCTATTCTAAGAACTTAACTCCATGCTTAGTAATGTGATTATTTTCCATTCCTATCTATCTCTGCTGTACTTCAGTATTTCTCAAGCTAAAAAGAAAACAAAATTGTGTCTATCACATAGTAATCCTTTAAAGTGATCTATCATAAGCAGAATTGTTAGAAAAACCAAAAGACCTAAAAAATAGAAGCCTCAATTATTTTATTAACAGCCATATAACCGGCTTTAGCTTAGACCTTGCAAACAAGCAGATGCTTACTAATGTATCTATTATTAGATGAGAGCACCTGGGAAGATGTACATATATACAATGGTGGTACATGGAGCTAATGGAAGCACCTTAAAGGGTCTTTCTCCCAGTTGGGGGTTTTCCAAGGCTTCTTTGATAACATCTTTTTGCTAAAGTGATTAGAAAGAAAGAAAAAGAGTTTTCCAAGCGCAAGAACAAAATTCAAGATGGAAAACACTGTCAGTACAGAAACTAAGAAGTGTAGTAAACACAAGCAAAAACACCGGAAAAAGTTAGGATCAAATTACACACTGTAATTAATTTACACTGTAAGTAATGTTATGTTACCATAGTAAAGTTACAGAAATAATGTTATACTGTAAGTAACATTAAGGATTTAAAACTAGCCTTACAGTAACAAGCAGTTATAAGGATTAAACTGGGAAAATGGCATGTTTTTAGAGTGGTATATATGTTTTTATAGTGCCTATAGAATAAACTACAGATGGACAAGAACAGATGTGAGGAGACTACATAGGAGCTGGTAGCCCAGCTACATGTCTGTGTGTTCATAAGAATACATACTCATAAGTAGTATGCATGTAAATATACAAATACCTGTTTGCAACTGGTATACATGTATGACACACATGTATATAAAAATACATGGGTAAAGGTCTGGAAGTATAATTACTTATGAAGTAGGGAATGTAATCAAGGTAGACTAAAGATAATGTTAAAATGTTATCTTCAGGGCTGGGAAGGTGACTCAGTGGTAGAGCGCTTGCCTTGCATGCATGAGGCCCTGGGTTCAATTCCTCAGCACCACATAAGCAAAAAGAAAAAAGC